GCTGAATTTGACCTGAAGCTATGGGCAACATGATCTTGTCCTCTTTCAGTAGGCCTAGCAGGGGTTTCTAGTCCATTACTATGACAAATTTATATTGGTAAAGGTATTGGTAGAACTTTCTCACACCAAAGATGACCACCAAACTTTCCTTCTCTATCTGGGTGTGTCTTCGTTCGGCATCAGCCAAAGTCCGGGAAGTGTATGCTATCAGCCGTTCGTCTCCGCTGGGCCATCTGTGAGTCAACACCACCCTGATACCATCGAATGTCAGCACCACCCATCACTTGGGTCCTCGTGGGCCAACACCTCAGGTGACGATAGCTGCTTCTTCACTTCCCTAATGGCTTCATCTTGACGATGAGACCATTTCCAAGGCTGACATGCTTTTCAATAGCAGATGTAAAGGTGCCAGGATGGAGGCCAGGTTATGTAAGAATTTTCCGTAATAATTCATCTACTAAGGAAAGATCAAAGCTCCAGTACAGTCATGGGAGCTGGGACATCATGGATTGCCCTCACTTTATTTTCCAATGAGTATAACCCGGTTTTGTCGACTCTGTAGCACAAATAGGTCACTAGTAGGAAAACACCTTGTACCCTTCTAAGGCACACGCGTACCATGGAGAAACGTTTAAGCACTATGTCCAAGTTCTCCAAGTGCTCTTCATTGGTCTTCCCATTTATTAGCACGTGATCCAGATAAATAGCGACTTGGGGCTGACCTAAAACGTTCCCCATCGTCTGCTGGAAAAGGGTGCATGGTTCCCCAAATGGCAGTCCCTTATGGTTATTAACGTAGCATACTTCTGGGATTCCTCATCTTATGGCAATTGCAAGTACGCATGGCTCATGTCCAGCTTTGTGAAGGACAGCCCACCGCCCCTCCAGCTTTGTGAATAAACCCTCCATGTGAGGCATTGGATATTTAGAAGCGGTTTACCGGTTTGTTTGAAATCCCCACAAAGGCAAACCAACACATCAGGCTTCACAATCAGTACGACTGGTGCTGCCCACTTCACAAACTGGACTGGTTTGATGATTGGAGATAGTAGGAACTGCAGATGCTAGAAAATCTGAGATAACAAGGTGTAGAGCTGGATGAACACAGCAGGCCAAGCAGCATCATAGGAGCTGGAAGGCTGACGTTTCGGGCCTAGACCCTTTCTGGTGACCCTTTTCTGATGAAGGGTCTAGGCCCGAAAGTCAGCCTTCCTGGTTTGATGATTCCTTTGTTTTCCAGCCTCATGATTTCTAACTCTACTTTTGCCCGTAAGGCAATGGCACTGGGCGGGCCTTGCAGAACTGTGGAGTTGCTTCTTGGTCAACATGTAAGGTGGCCTTGACCCCTTTGATAGTCCCTTGACCTTCCGGAAAAATCTTCCAGGTATTTAATTAGGACTTCACTCAGGCAGCCTTTTGCTAATCAAAAAAAATGTTGAGCCAATTAAGTTGAATCTTTCTCAACCAATTACACCCCGTCAAGCTTGGGCCTGAGCCTTTCACTACAATCAGTGGTAACTGAACCAGCTGCTTCTCATAACTAAAGTTATACCTTTAATCTGTAAGGGTTCCCTGTTATAGGTTCTCAACTTGACTGAGGTCTTATGCAAACTTAAGGGTTGGACTCCACAGCAAATTTTGGTCAAGACTGCTCCTGCAATCACTGATACAGCCGCGCTGGTATTGACCTCCATCAGAACTGGGTGACCATTTAACCAGATGTTTATTTTGATTGGTTCTGATTTGGATATTGATGAGCAATTTAACTGTTCTAAAGCAGCAGTAGGCGGACTTTCCAGGGTGTGCACTGTCCTGGATGCCAGCCTGCGAGTTCTCTTACTCCAGTCAGGCCGAGTGGGACTCTCTTGCTCTCTCGAGTCCACATACTGGCAGCAACTACAATGGCCTGCTGGGCCAGATCCTCAAGAAAATTTTAACCATTTGGCCAAGACTTGCCATTGTTTTGGGGTTTTGCTGTGGGCTGACCCAGAGTCCCTCAGACCAGGATATGTCCTGAGTGAGGCTGTGCCATTGCCTTCACTCAAATGGTGTTCCCCAAGGTCAGTCAGCCTGGTGAGGGCATCCATTTACACTATAACTCTATAACTCACATGTTCCACTTGCCACATTTTTTAATGACAAAGCCTGTTGTATTGCCTGTTTGAAGTTCAGCTAATCGGTGCGTTTGCATGGTTACATCATTAATCTCGCATACCAACGGGGGTGTCAGTATCTCATTAAGGGTTAAACCAAATTCACATGTATCTGCTAGTCCTCTTAACCTCATCAAAAATCCGATACGGATTCTCCTGGTTCTCAAACTGCCGGGTAAAACCGATAGCGTCTCAGAATTAGAGGAGGCTTGGGGTCATAGTATTCCTTAACTAAATCCATCAACTCTTGAAAGGTTTTGGTATCCGGCGCCTCAGGGAGAGTTAGGCTCCTAATGACTGAAAATGTTGTGGGCCCACAGGAGAATTACTCGTTGCTTTTCGTCTGCCCCAATATCATTAGCCCGGAATAAATAACACATTCTTTCCACATACTGGGCCCAGTCTCCTACGGCAGGATCAAATGAGTCAAGCTTCCCAAATAACAGCATGATGCCAGAAATCCTTACCCCAACTCAAAGACGACTGTTGCGAGTGAGTCTCTTTGGGGGCATGTTTTTCTCTCATCACCACTGAAATAACTCCTGAGTGGTTCAGGAAAGTGGTCACCACACCATCTTTCTCAAGGGCGGTTAAGGATTTTTTTCTTCATTCACGGGATGAGGGCGTCGCTGGCTAGGCAGTATTTATTGCCCATCCCTAATCGCCCAGAAGGCAGTTGAGATTCAACCACATGTAGGCCAGACCAGGTAACGATGGCAGTTTCCTTCCCTAAAGGACATTAGCAGGTCTGGCAGCATCTGTGGAGAGAGGAACAGCTAACATTTTGAGTCCAATCTGACTCTTCAGCTAACTGTAGCATCTACTATCCCAACCTCTGCTGAATTTGCTATTGCGGTATCAACCTTGGGATCCACCTTTTCTGTCTGATTCTGCAACCCACTAAATCAGATCCCTGATGACAACATGGTCAGTTACATTGTGGGGTTAAGATTAGTATGGTTTTATATTTCCTCAAGTAGGGATAATGGGTAGGTAGTCAAATTAGCCTCAATTATTCACATTATTTATTAACCACTTGGATAATGGTATAGAAAGTCATATATCCAAATTTTCTGATGACACTAGGTGGCATTGTAGCCAGTGTGGATGACAGCATAAAATTATATAGGGATAATGATTGACGAGGAGAAAAGGTAAAACTGGCAGATGGAGAACAATGAAAGCAAGTGTGAGGTTATCCATTTTGGACCAATCAGGGTACTTTCTAGATGGCAGGAAGCCAAGTACAGTGGATGTTCAAATGAGACTTGGGAATTCAGGTGCATAGTTTTGTTTTATTCATTCGTGGGATGAGGACGTTGCCAGTTAGCCAGTATTTATTGCCCATTCTTAATTGCCCAGAGGGCAGTTAAAAGTCAACCACACTGCTGTGGGTCTGGAGTCACATGTAGACCAGATCAGGTAAGGATGACAGTTTCCTTCCCTAAAGGACATTAGTGAACCAGATGGGTTTTTTTTCCCAACAATCGGCAATGGATTCACGGTCATCATTAGGCTCTTAATTCCAGATTTTTATTGAATTCAAATTCCACCATCTGCCAATAGCAGGATTCAAACCTGGGTCCCCAGAGATTAACAGTCCAGCGATAATACTGTCAAGCCGCTACCTCTCCAAAATCTTTAAAATGTCAAGAACAGGTGCAGAAAATAATCAAGAAAGCTAATGGAATGCTGGCTTTTACATGCAGAGGACTGGAGCAATGAGGATGCAGAAGTTAGGCTGCAGTTACACAAACCATGGTTAAACCCCACTTGGAGCATTGTGAGCGTGTCTGGGCACCACACCTTAGCAAGGATATCTTGGCCTTGGGAGGAAGTACAATGTACATTTACAAGAAACAGAAACTTGGACATCAAGGATTAAGTTATGAGGAGAGATAGGGCCTTGAGTCTCTAAATTTTAGAAGATTAAGAGTGATATGTTTGAAGTCTTTGAAACATTAACAGGAAACAACAGGCTAGATAAAGATAAACTATTTCCACTGGTTGGGGATTCTAGAATTAGGGGGCATAGTCTGACAATTAGGAGAGATATCAGCAAACAACCTTCTACACACAAAGACTAGTGGAGGTTTGGAACTCTCAAATGGCAGCTGATGCCAATAGAATTGTTAAATTTAATTCTGAGACAGATAATTTTTTGTTAAACAATGGATCATGGGCCCAAGGCAGATTAGGCCACAGATCAACCATGATATCATTGAATAGTGGAACATGCTCAAGGGGCTGAATGGCCTACTCCTGTTCCTATCCAGAAACATGCACCTGGTTTGATTGAAACCCCATATTCCAATTTAAAGTCTGGATTCATGCACTTTGGTGAACCGAGGTGGCATCTACAACTCGCCAGGCCTTCTTTCCATGGAAGCTTCTAGAACTGCCACCAATGCCACTTGGACAGACAGAGGTGTGGGGAGACCCCAAAGGGATGTTTGGTCTTTGGCCCTAGCATCGAGGCTCTCTCGTCACCGACAATCTGTTACATAATACTGAACGAACTGCACTCTTCCTCGAACCTGCAGCAGTTCTGAGCAAATTGAGGAAGAGAGCATGTTGATAGGTGGGTCAGTCCATTCCATAAAAATCAATGAGGGAAGGAACAGCCAGGGCCTTGAAATTGCTTATAAATTTAATCCAGGGCGAAAGAGAAGAAATAGTGAACAGAGTGATGTGGGACGGACTGCATGGCAGGGCGAGGAGAGAGCTGTGAGGCAATTTGGCAATGAGGCTGGTGCTGTGAGATGTAAGCAGAACAGGGTCTGGAAGCTGAAATGAAGGAAGGCCAGGTGGAGATAAACAAGGCTGAGCAATCCATGTTGGCTGCAGTTCCAGGTAAAATTGGAGAGAAAAGGAGGAGGAGGAAAACGAATTGTAGGAGACAGTGAAGGTGCAGAAGAAAGAGAAGCTGGAAAAGGAGAACAAGAGGAAGAAGGAGGAAGTGGGGGTGAGCGATTATGGAGAACGACATAAGGAGAAGGAATGGCTGTAAGAGGCGGTGGAAATTACTAACTGATGGGACCCCTCCGGAAATGGTCCACATGGGTTCTGCAGGCCAAATGGCCTCCTTTCTATTGTAATGACTTTGGTGAAACATGCTTGTACCAATCTAAGACAGACATAGCCTTTCCTAATTAAAGAGAATGAAACTGAGCACTCCAAACATCTTTTGTAGCATCACTCTGTCAGATTGGTACAAAACAGCTGTATACTTACCATGAGGTTATAACTGTCTTAGTGCAGGGTTTATTTTTAAAGTCTTCGCTGAAAGAAAACACAAATGAATCCATTGCACAACACTGAACTTCTTATACAGGTGATAATCAAGCTGGAAACAAGTCTGAGTTAATTATCCCTTACCACAGGAGGAAGAATTGGCATCACGCAGAAAGGTTAATGAGACAGAAAAACAAAGCAGGAGGGAGAGAAAAATGATTGAGAGGTGGAGCCAGACTGACATAAATGGACAGTATGGGACAGAGAGGGATGGGCAGACAAGAGAGACCTGCCCAGGGACACTGGCATCTAGAGACTTGGATGTCTGGATATAGTTTACTGTGCTGGTTTTCTGTTCATTGATAGTGACTTACAAAAAGCAAGACTTGCATTTGCATGACCCCATTCAATACCTCAGGATGCCCCGAATTGCTTAACAGCAAAAGCATTGTTTTACAAATGTCATCACTGTTTTACTGCACTGACCAAGTGAGAGCCAAATGAAAAATCAACAGAATGTTAAGAATTGCAGCTCAGTATGGAAGCCTTCTTTCACTGCAAGCCTTAGGCTGACACTGAGACAGCAAATGTAAAGAGATACTGCATTTTGAAATGTTGATCGGCAATTTCGTCTGAAATACTCTCACCCAGCTCTGCACAAGACTGCCACGAGGTGCCCAGGCTAATAAACAGTCTGGTTTCAATGGTTCAAATTGCTGTTTGCCTGTTGGGGAGGTGGGAAGGGGGTGGGGCCATTGAAACCTTGGCTCTTACACTATAGCCAGGAATGTTCATGAATCTACCATCAGAGTTACTCTTCCAAATAGTGACAATCACACTTCCTACTCCAGTGAACCAGTTAACTGCAGATCTGTTAACACTTAGGACATCGCTGGATGGGTGAAAATTATTGGTCATGTGCCACCTCTTGGTATATTAACAGCCACAGTAAAATGACAGGCTGTATGGGGGAGGGTGCCTGAGAGAGAGAGAGAGAGAGAGAGAGAGAGAGGAAATAAGATGAGAGTAATGGCAAAGCCACAAGGAATATAGTCACCCATTTGGTTGATTTTGGCTTAGTGGACTTTACCCAATTGGAGACTCCAACCTCACGCTCACGGTGTGAGGAGGGGAGCAGTGCACACCCAAAAACACGGTGTTGCCAACATGGCAAACTGTCTCCAATGGTGGCAGCACAGCCATTCTGCAAGCTGCTGTCTTCATATCCATTAACACACACATAACCCAGCAATCAGTCATCAAGTCCACTGAGATCCACAAAAACATTGAAGATAGGAAGGATATTATTAAGCTGGAGAGGGTTCAGGACAGATTTATCAGGACGTTGCCAGGAATGGAGAGTTTGAGTTATAAAGAAAGGATGGATAGGTTGGGCCTTTTCTCACTGGAGCGTAGGAGTTTGGGAGGTGACCTTATAGAGGTTTGTAAAATCATGAGGTGTATATTTAGGGTTAATGGTAGGTGTCTTTTCTCTAGGGTGGAAGATTTCAAGATTAAGGGGCATATATTTAAGCTGAGAAGAGAGAGATTTAAACAAAAAGGCATGACAGTCAAAGTTTGTACACAGAGGGTGATACACGTGTAGAAAGAACTTCCTGAGGAAGTGATGCTTTTGGGCAAAGTTACAACATTTAAAAGACATTTAGATAAGTACATGAATAGGAAAGGTTTGGAAGGATATGGGCCCAGAGCAGGCAGGTGGGACTAGTTTAGTTTGGGATTATGTTTGGCTTGGACCGAAGGGTCTGTCTCTGCATTATATGACTCTGTGACTCTATAACTATATCAGAATGCAAACCCACAAAACCGGGTTCAGTTCCTCTTCTATAAGCTGTGTGGTAAGGAACATCAGGATTACACTCTTACTGACTGTATCTATCACTCTGTTTCATTCTTCATATTTAGCAGCCACACATGGGTTTTGCAAGTAGCTGCTTGCAATGAGCAGCTTGCTTTGACGGTAACATTACAGAGTCAGGAATGTGCAGTAATAAAAGGGAAGTGCAATTCTCGACGTAAGAAGTTAATTTTGCCTTAAAACAAAAGCTCCACGGGTCAGACACAGATCAGTAACTTTTCACTGGAGTCACCCAAAGGGTTTATGGAAAGGGAACCTCACTTCCCGATGACATTGTGGGTCAACCTACACCAAGTGGGCTGCAGTGGTTCAAGAAGGCAGCTCACTACCACCTTCTCGAGGGGCAACTAGGGACGGGCAATAAAACACTGGCCCAGACAGCAACACCCATGCCCCACAAGTGAATTAAAAATACGTCCAACCCAGAATACCCAGGCACCAATACCAAACAGTCTGCATTGTTCGAGGGACATGTTCTTGGGGTTGTCGTGGCAACTTTGGTGTCGGTGCAGGATCATTTCGGAATCAATCTGATTATTTTCGATATCCAGAATCATTTTAACGAGTAATTAGGAATAAAATATCTTATGTCACATTTGCAATTAACCTCATAGTAACAGCCATAAATCCTTTTGAAAAATAAACAGGCTCCACAAGGTGTCTGTTAAAGCCAGATTCAGGCACAATGTTTCTCCCAGAGATATTGTAAGGCTCTCTTGGGCTTATTGCTCTTCAGTGCAAGAACACAAGGGTCTCACTGGGGAGGACAGCTGTCTTGAGCTTCCCACAGTTGGAAAAGAGGAATGGTCTCTCCAGGCTGGGGATGTCTTTATGCTTCAGCACCAAAACTAAGTAGCCTTGTCCCAGTTCTGATGTGTGCGAGGCAAAAATCGTGATTGTTTTATTTTCCCCGCAATACTGTATCAAAAGTGTTTGGGCACTGTATAAAAAGGAAATCAGGGTTAGAATAAGACTGCTATGGCCAAGCAACTCAGTTGTACCCATAGAAACATTAAATAGTACTTGTCCAAGTATTTGCCAAGACAATTTTATGATATTGGAAGACAAGGTCAAAACAGGTCAAGAGTTTAAAATAGTACGGTGAAGATAATTAATAAATCAATCACACTTTGGTTAAAATGCCTGGTCTAGATAGATTGCATTTGCACATCGTTATGATCCACTTGGTGGAGTGTGCCGCACTATTCCTTCACAAACTGCAAAATGCAATGATTTAATCAAAATGCACACAGTTCCCAATATATCTGGGTCAAAATCCTGGAATTCCCTCCCTAAGGGCATGGTGAGTCTATCTACAGCACATGGATCGCGGCAGTTCAAGAAGACAGCTCACCACCAGCTTCTCAAGGGGCAACTAGGGACGGGCAGTAAGTGCTAGCCCAGACAGTGATGCCCACGAGTGAATGAGTAAAAGGTGAACTCCTCTCCACACTGGAAGCAAACCAAAAGCCTCAGCATCTCCTCATGGGAGGAAAGCTGCCGGTGCATCAGCAGGTTGGAGGACTGGGTGAAACTCCTTACCCACTCCATGCACATGAATGACCCTGCCTGGTGTCAGGACTAAAAAGCGGGTGAGCAGAAGAGGTGGGAGAGGTGAACATCTGACAGCCACTTGGTTGGACGGTTGGGTAGCTGGCCTTTTTGAACTGGCAGACTGGAGCGGGGCATACCGGGACAAAAGCACTGACTCCTGGTCATGGCAGAGGTGAAAGGTCTGTGCTGGGATCACACACTGACCTGGCTGGGTTGCTGAGACAGGGTTAATAAAAACAGTTATCCTGGAAGGAGATCTGTCAGTGCAGTTTGGGATATTATTTGAATCGTTGTAAATTGAGAGAGGGGGTTGTTCAACGAGACCTGGGTGTCCTCTTACACCAGTCGCTGAAAGTAAGCATGCAGGTGCATCAGGCAGTGAAAAAGGCAAATTGTATGTTGGCCTTTATGATGTGAGGATTCGAGTACAGGAGCAAAGGATGTCTTGCTGCAATTATACTGGGCATTGGTGAGGCTACACTTGGAGTATTGTGTGCAGTTTTGGACTCCTGAGGAAGGATGCTCTTGCTATAGAGGGAATGCAGGGAAGGTTTACCAATGTGATTCCTAGGATGGCAAGACTGAGTTGTGAGGAGAGATTGAGTCTGTTAGTATTGTATTGACTGGTATTTAGAAGAATGAGAGGGAGATCTCATGGAAACCTACGCAATTCTTACAGGACTGGTTAGATGCAGGAAGGATGTTCCCGATGGTGGAGAAGTCCAGAACCAGGGGTGATACCTTAGGAATAAGGGGTAAACATTTTAAGACTGAGATGAGGAGAAATTTCTGCACCCAGAGAGTGGTGAGCCTGCAAAATTCACTCCCACAGAAAGTGATTGAGAACAAAACATTTTCACAAAGCTCTTAAGGGTCAAGAAAGACGGTGGGGGAGGGGGGTGGGATTAAGGTATTGAGCTCCATGATCAACCACGATCAGAATGAATGGTGGAGCAAGCTCAAGGGGCTGAATGGCCATTCCAGGATCTTATCCACTATGATTCTATAATGCTGACTTTCTTTAATGTGATTGGTTAGTGAAAGGGTTTCACACACAGGGGTTCCCCTTGCAACAATACTGGTTGTCAGAGAAATGGTCACCTCTCAAGGGAAGGCACAGTTAAGTAGACATAACATCAGATTATTCATTACAGGAGCCGTGCCTGTGACAATATGATAAACACCAAGCTGTCACCATTGTCACACTCCATCATACACCGTCAGCATTGAACATCACCAACACCATCACACACCAACACACTCCAGCGCAGAACATCCCAGTCCATCACTCTCAATCACACACCATCAACACCATCACTCTCCATCACACAATCGCACTCTACCACAGTCCATCACTCTCCATCACTCTCCAACAAAATCACCATCACACGTCATCATCACCATCAGAAATTATCACCCTCCATCACACACTATGATCACCATCACATATTATCACACACCATCACTCTCCATCACACTCCATCA